GGCATTTTAGCAAGCTGTGGTTTTGAAATTCTTTTAAATACATTGGTGTCTGTGTCCTCGAGATATTGTTGAACTCCCTTTTGCTTGTGTTCTCGATATGTGCACCATCTCTGTAAATGCACACGAATTTTGCATATTTCTTTTCATTTATTTGCCCGTATAGCTTTATACTCTAGCGGTACTCGGGGAAAGGGATGGGGGAGGGAAGTACAGTGGTAAAAAAAAGGGGTGAAATAGGCAATAAATTTAATAGCCTTTAATAATGAATGCAGCATTCATGAGAACTATCATCACAAAAAGGACAACAAAAGTGCATTTCGTTGGGCGAAAAGCAACAGAATTTCGTTTCGTTTGATTGTGCAATGAAGAAAAAATGTAAAGTAAGATAACAAATCTTTCAGGAACGGTACATTATAAACAAATGAAGTAGTACAGGAGTAAATCGTAAGAATATTGGAAATTGCGGTTAGGGTGGTAGGGGAGATCCAAAACCATTTGATGTAAGGAGAGCCAATTGTTGCTGCTCGTTATTTCGCTTATGGGCGACCATTTTCAGTCTTTCGGTTCGAGCAGATGCGCCATCGCCAGCAATCTTTTCGTATGCGGTTGCACAGTGCCGGCGATTATTTGACATTGCTGTGGAGATGGGCCATGAAATGAGTGTGCTGGATGTGGGCGATGGGTTCCCAAGTGTGACCAATGCTTATGGTCTATCGTTCGAGCAGGTTGCTAGGGCTCTCAGTGCTGCTGTTTCGCTGTTCTTTCCGCAAGAACGATTTCCTCATTTGCGTGTTATTGCGGAACCGGGCGCATATTTCGCTTCATCGCCTTATCTCTTGGTTACTCGTGTCGTCGACAAACGCCTGATTGATGCTAGTTTGCTCACTAGTGATGGTTAGTTTGCGATATGAAAACCCTCGAAGAAATGTTTACTTTGGTTTTGTAGATCCGAAAACAGCTTTCGCAGTCAGACAATGAGAAATTAAAAGGCTTGTTCTAGCAGTACCATCTTTTGACTGCTTCAGCTACAGATATTCGAGATGTTTTGGGTAAATTACTGCTCAATAGCTCGTGGGAAATATCGCTGCTTCTGGTCCCAGTAATGGCTTACATATTTTCT